CCGAAGGTTTGAGTGCATATGATGATTCATGTGGAGAAAGTAATGGGAGGTTATATTTGGCCTAAATAAATAGGGTTTCTCTTTATTTATGTGGTAGCGGCAAAGAATGATTAGCAAGAGGGAAAGAGAGGCAAAAAATCTGGAAAGACGGTGCTGTCTGGTTTTCATCAAGCTGACAATTAGAGGTCGATCCGCGGTCTGCAGCGTACTTGTGATACATTGTTCTAGAATCTAATTGGTTTGATTTTCATTTGGATCTCCCTTCATCAGGTTTTTCGTGGGTAGAACCGAACCTGTGTTATAGTGAGATTTCATGTGTTTTGCCAAGAATAGTGTTCTTGATATCGTTGCTACTATATACCTCTAGTATTAACTAGATAAGAACTTTGTTCACCTTATTTTTGTTGATTGTGAAGATTTCGGATGGACTCCGGTCGCGTGGAGATTTTCCACGTAAAAACTACCTTGTATTTGTGGATGTTTGATATTTATATTTTGGCAGATATATTGCTCTATTGTGTTGTTTTATATTAGGATTGCACAAGAGAGGAGATTGTTTTGTTCCGTTACGCTAATTTGATATTTGTGGGTGCTTGATATTTATATTTTTGGCAAATACATTGTATTTCAACAAAGTGATATCATAGCAAGTACCTTGCTCGATTTTCCAATCCTGTGTTAAACGATGAAAACAAATACGAGTACAATGGTTACGTCAAATGGTTGGACCCAAGACCCAAAGCCTCCAAAATAATGCAGGAGGAATCAACTTTGATGTCAATCCGTCTAGACAAGTAATAATTTATCCATGAGAAATTAAGCTTCCACCGTAGATCGATCGCAGCGAGAATAAAAAGGATGACAATTTGTCCACGATTCTCCAGAAATGGACCCGATGGTGACGTGAAGAGAAAAAAGAAGGTGAGGGCCTCGAGGAAAAGAGAAAATATTGCTCTAGAAAAGAAAAATGAAAGAAATGCAGGAGGACCACCTCAATGGCCTCCATATAATAGAAGAAATAGAGGAACATGCACCTTTGTACATTCAGAAGGAGGCGAGCCTCGTAAGTCATAAGCAGAGAGAGATGGATTTCTTGGCCTTGATCTTTTGCCTTTCCTCCTCTGGGGCTTGTTCCAGGGTCTCTCTTTGATTGCAAAGAGAGGCAAGAGGTATCCCTCCAACCTCCCGCCCGGCCCCCGCCCTCTTCCGGTCATCGGCAACCTTCTCGAACTCGGAAACCTTCCCCACAAGTCTCTTGCCAAGCTCGCTCGCACTTACGGCCCCATAATCAAACTTCAGCTCGGCTTTGTAACGACGGTTGTGATTGTTGCGAAATTCAAATTGGCATTAGTATAAAAATCACAAACAATACAGAATCGCAAATAAACGAAATTGCAATAACAAAGTTGGAATCGATACAAATGAATACCGAGGCCTGTGTTTGACACAGTTTCCTTAAAACAGATTCGTTCCCTTCAGGACGCGTCCGAGGTTTCGTGAACGTCTGTCTCCCAGGATACAACGGTTGACTGCTAAGAAGTAATCAGGACTTCAAAGCTTCCGGCGAACTTGAACAAATTGCGGAACTGAACACTATCGAAAACCGTGCAAATGCAGAGAATATAAAACAGAGGAAGAATGATTTCGATAAAATAGAACGCAGGGGAGAGCATTTCGGGAATAATAACGGCCGATTAAATCTGTCGTTACAAAATCAATACGAATAACGGACAATTAAATCTGCCGTTATAAAATCAATACGAATAACGGACGATTAAATCTGCCGTTATAAAATCAATACGAATAACGGACGATTAATTCTGCCGTTATAAAATCCGCACGTTACGAAATTCGTAACAGTTTGAGTTGAAAAAAAAATTAAATCAGAAGGCAAAATTGGGCTCGTCGTGAGGCCCACTTTTCAGTCCTGCAATCGTGTACGCGCGCCCAAGTTTCAACTTGTCGGGCGTCGGATTTTCACCCACCCTGCGCCTGCGCGCGAGGCAGAGAGTTTGTGCTATGATAGTTACCACTTCAAATAAGTGTAACTGTATATAAAGCACTCCATAGCCTTCTTTCTTTTCCGATGTGGGAATAGTATTTTTCACTTCCCACTTCCAACTCAAGGGTGTTCTTTGAGCATCAATTTCTCATTCATTCACCCATCAATTTATCCCATATTTCCAGCAGTGATCTCTTCCCCGACGCTCGCCAGAGAGATCCTCCAAAGCCATGATGCTGTCTTCGCTAATCGCACGATTCCCGACACCATCACGGCCCATGACCACCACCAGCTCGGCTTGCCTTGGATGCCCGTTTCGCCTCTCTTCCGAAACCTGAGGAAAATATACAACTCACACCTTTTATCCAGTAAGAAACTTGATTCCAACCGGCATCTTCGCAGCAAGAAAGTGCAAGAGCTCGTCGCTTATGTTGGAAAATGTGCACACAACGGTGACGTTGTTGATATTGGTGAGGCAGCTTTAGGACTACTGTTAACTCTCTGTCTAACACGGTTTTCTCTTTGGACATGACGGACCCTTCAACTTCTGCCAAGGAGTTGAAGGAGGTCATGTGGCAAATCATGGCCGAGGTTGGAAAGCCAAACATTGCAGATTACTTTCCTGTCCTCAAGAAGATTGACCCCCAGGGTTCGAAGCAGCGCACCGAGTTGCATTTCAGTAAGATGTTAGATATCTTCGATGGGCTGATCAAGCAAAGGTTGCAGCTGAGAACGCAGCCTGGTGCCACCACAAGCAACGATGTTTTGGATGCTCTTCTTGATGTTGTGGAAGACCTGGACATCTCTCTGGTCAAGCATCTGTTTCTGGTAAGCTGTCCTGATATTCATGGATGCTTCTCTACGTTATTTTCTGATTAGTCAAACGATCTATTTTATTTAGTGTATATCGTATAGTTTCGTATAGTTTATTGTGTTATTAGATAGCAATAAAAAAGAAATCTAAAAACCATACTGAAGCAAACAGGTTGCTTCAATTTTGTTTTAGCTGTTAAGGACAATTACAAATTCGATTTCACTTCAGTTGGAGCTTATACTGAACTTAGGTTGGCCTCTTTTTCCCCACAAAATCAATCTCAATCAACCCTTCATAAGTACTTGTCATGCTCTTATGTCTCCTGCTATGATGACAACAGGACTTTTTTGTTGCTGGTAGCGAAACCGCTTCGAGTACTCTGGAGTGGGCGATGGGGGAACTACTTCGCAACCCGGAGAAGCTATCAAGAGCCCAAACCGAGCTCCATCTCCTCATTGGAAAAGGCAAGCAGATAAAAGAAGCCGATATATCTCGCTTACCCTATTTACAAGCTACCGTAAAAGAAACTTTGCGAATGCACCCGCCAGTTCCACTCCTTCTGCCTCGCAAAGCCGAAGCCGATGCACAAATAGATGGTTTCACTATTCCAAAAGGTGCACAAGTGCTTATTAATGCATGGGCTATAGGAAGAGACCCTGCCATTTGGGCCAGTCCAAATGAGTTCATGCCAGAGAGATTTCTAGGATCTGACATAGATCTGAGGGGACAAAACTTCGAGCTCATACCGTTTGGTGGCGGCAGGCGGATTTGTCCGGGATTGCCACTGGCCATGAGAATGTTACATCTGATGCTGGGTTCACTCATTAACGCATTCAACTGGAGGCTCGAAGATGGTGTCACACCAGAGAAGATGAACATGGAAGACAAGTTCGGGATAACCGTGCAACGGGCTCAACCCGTGAAAGCAGTGGCTGTACCAGTGTAACTCAAGTGAAGGTTTTATGTTTTAACACGTGCTACGTGACCATTACTTTAAAGAAATTGTGAGACCACTCATCTCGACACATTTCCATTGTATGATTGGTTCTTTGCATGAAACCATCACCGTTCAATGGAATGAATCTATATCGTATTCCTGGTTATATTCTCTAATTTTGGGGTCGATGCTACACTCCATTGTTAAGTAACTTGTGTAATTTAAACTCTTTGCAACTAGTTTGATGAGTAAATAGAATTTGTACATTTGTAATTGATTAGCTTTGCAATTAAGGAAGACTAGTTTGTTGCTGAAGAGATTGGAGAGTGAAAAGAACTTGCAGAAGATGGCAAATTGTCCCTACATCATTTTTCTTTCTCTTCCTTTGTCCCATTTGCCATCTGACCATCCATCACTAATCTTGATTTGTGTACTATTCATTCAACACATTGAAATAGTTTCCACTTTTGAGGACTGGAATCTCTATAACCCGAATAAGTGACCCTAGTCCATGATCAAGGAAGAGAAAATATTCAGTGGTTAGCAACCACCAGGTCATCCGCCTACGTGGCGCGTGTGAGCTTAGTTGGCTCCACTCAGCGAGAGACACGTGGCGTCTGAGTTGGACTTCCTGAAAAATTTAAAAAGGCATTCTTTTCTCTTTGTGGGATAGAGCTGAAAATTAAAATCCCGCCTAAAACACCCCCCCTCTCTCTCTCTCCTCTTTTCAATTTCCAAGGCCTTCTTTACCTGCTCTCCTAGAGAAGAACAAATAAAACACTCTCTCTCTCTTTCTCCACCACCTCCGCCTTTGTCTCCGCCTCTCCCAAGAGCCCCGCCGGTCCCTCCGAGCTCAGATCTGCGCCCAAGTGGGAGAGCCCCGCGTCGCTTCGAGCTCATAGCTGTGCCTGGCACGTCGCCTCCCCCAAGAGCCCCTCCGTCACAGTTGCTGGATCCCGAGCCCCTCCGCCTCCGGAGCCCCATTGGCGGCTACGATGTACGATTCATCGGCTAGCTCCTCTCTCTCCCTCTCTTTCTCACGCACCAAATTCCCGACGGTTGCCGATGCGACGATCAAGCAAAAGGTCTCCACTCGCGTCGGTTTGGGGAACCCTAGCGACGTCTACCTACGGCCGCGCCATCTCTCTCAACCTTTGCAACTTCTGGGCCTCCGTTTGATTGCATACCTCCGACGAGCTCGTCATCATGTGGTAAGGTTCGTCCCAATGTGTTTGCGATCTAGGTTTTGGTTTGATTCTTTTGCAATGGCGTCTATTAACGCTGAGAAGTTGTGTGGATTCCTATTTCACTGTGATTGAGTCATGAATCTAGCTTCACTTTACTTTGTCACGATCTTGGTTTTGTTTCGATTCTCTTGCTCGTGCTTTGTTTTTGGAAGTGTGGTTGGAAGTTGAGCTCTGTTGAGTTGATGATTAATGGGAGAACAACATTGTGTATCCAGTCTCGCAAGCAACAGAACAATTTTCAGCTCAATCAGTTTATCTTCACTGAGGTTGAATCTATAGTTCTTTTGATCGGATTTACTTTGTCGCAAGCAATGAAAAAGTCCTTATTTTTAACTGTCCATCTTGTTGCTGAGGTGAGAAGAATGGAACAAAATATATCTGAGTTTCTCACACAACAGATGTGGGATTCCAAGAACATGATGTGCGCTGCTGACCCAAGGCACGGTCGCTACCTTACTGCGTCGGCCATGTTCAGGGGCAAGATGAGTACCAAGGAGGTCGATGAGCAAATGATAAATGTGCAGAACAAGAACTCCTCCTACTTTGTGGAGTGGATTCCGAATAATGTGAAGTCCAGCGTGTGCGACATTCCTCCCAAGGGGCTTTCCATGGCTTCCACATTCATTGGGAATTCAACTTCCGTCCAGGAAATGTTTAGGACGGTGAGCGAGCAGTTCACTGCCATGTTCAGGAGAAAGGCTTTCTTGAACTGGTATACCGGTGAAGGAATGGACGAAATGGAATTCACCAAGGCGGAGAGCAACATGTATGATCTCGTGTCTGAGTATCAGCAATATCAAGATGCAACTGCCGACGAGGAAGGTGATTATGAAGATGAGGAGGAGGAAATACCAGATGACATGTGAGAGTTAGCAGCGGAAGTGTAATGGATGCATGAGTGTTCATTATTGCGTTATTACGTGTTTGCCATAGTATCAACGGGCTATTGGACCGGTAGGGAAAAGAATTTGCCAATATCATTTTGGAATGTCTAGGGTCGGGTGGTGTTCGCGATATCCTTTTTCCTTGTTGTTGGTTCCAAATGTGTTGTCCTTTTTCTCTCATGCTACAGATAACAACATTTCATGTGAATCTATCATATGTTCATCTGCTATCTCCATTTTTTTCATCTCCATGGAATTTTAGTGGTTTTTTTTAACAACCGTTAGCTTCATAAGATAAAGTGGTAGTCTCCCTTTATGTAATCGAATTTAAGGAGCTGAATTCTAAGCATATCTAGTTTGTTTTAGTGACCCATTTCTTATGGTCACAGAAGCAATTGAGTATTACATGGTCTAAAGTAAATGCAATACGGGGAAGAAACTATGTTCGCATCCACATGGCTCAAAAAATTGAGGTACTGATTGATGACAAGTTGCAATGTACAATGTTTTACAAAGAATTCATCAACATCACCTCCTAAACTACAACTCTAATGATCAATACTCAGTTGTCTTATATTGTCTACATGTAAGAGGATGACTATGAACGCGACTCTTGCTTGATCCCAAGTCCAGAAACATCGATTTCTTCGCGGCAAAATTGTTGGCACGGGGCTTTTGGTCTTCAGACGCATGAGACCCAGCTCAACGAAATCACCCTCCACCAACTACCTTTTGCAATTTTGGCGCGCGAAGCCTTATGACTTGTTGCCATCTTTGGGAGATCACACGGATCCAATTCTTGCACCATCCGCCACCTCTTGTCTGTCGAGAAGGAATCATAGAGATATGGCCTGCTATGCGTTAGGTTTATGAAACAACAGCTGTCTATACTACGAAATCAATCAACTAACCCGTTTCTGCTCTTTGATAAAGTTCTTGCATCTTCCTCTTGGTGGCTTGATACTTCATGTCCGCCACAACTTCATCCCAGCCCTTGATCCTCTGATTGAAACCAAATGAACAAGTCAGTACTTTTAATTGGAAGGATACCGGGCATATTAAATTTGGCTTTTCTACTTACCTCAAACTTCATAGTGGGCTTCACAATGCTCTTGTGCTGATTCACATTCAGCCTCCGGTTCCTGTTAACAATTGGACCGGCCTCATTGACTTGTCCCCGTTTCCTGATGTTCTGGTTCTTGACGGAAGATGTTGTTCCGCCTCCGACTTTGTGAGGATCTACAAAAAGAATTCAAGCACACAGTAAAGAAAACTCATCATATGGAGGACTCAAGAAAAAGAACAAGAATGTTTGTGCAGTAAATTAATACCAGCAACATCCTCTGTGCCGCGGCAAAAATCTTCCACCAAAGCCTTCCATCCCCTGCAATAAAAAGAATCTGAGTGTGCGAGCAGGACCAAATTGTACGAAATGAACTTATTCTATAATATAATCCAGACACAATACAAAAAGAACGTATCGCTCCATACATAGTAATGTCGTGGGTGAGTTGAGCAACCTCAGTGAAGATAAACTGGACACACAATGTTGTTCTCACATTAATCATCAACTCAACAGAGCTCAACTTCCAACCACACTTCCAAAAACAAAGCACGAGCAAGAGAATCGAAACAAAACCGAGATCGCGACAAAGTAAAATGAAACTAGATTCATGATGCAATCACGGTGAAATAGGAATCTACACAACTTCTTAGCATTAATAGACGCCATTGCAGAAGAATCAAATGAAAACCTATGATGACGAGCTCGTCGGAGGGATGCAATCGAACGGAGGCCCAGAAGTAGCCGAGGTTGAGAGAGATGACGCATCCGTAGGTAGACGTCGTTAGGGTTCCCCAAACCGACGTGAGCGGAGACCTTGTGCTCGATCATTGCGTCAGCAACCGCCAGGAATTTGGTGAGAGAGAGAGAGAGAGAGAGAGAGAGAGAGAGGAGCCAGCTGATGAATCATACATCGTAGCCGCCGATGGGGCTCCAGAGGCAGAGGCGGAGGGGCTTGGGATCCAGCAGCCACGACGGAGGGGCTCTTAGGGGAGGCGACGTGCCAAGCGCAGATCTGAGCTCGGAGCGACGTGGGGCTCTCCCTCTTGGGCGCAGATCTGAGCTCGGAGCGACGCGGGGCTCTCCCTCTTGGGTGCAGATCTAAGCGCGGAGCGACTGGCGGGGATCTTGGGAGAGGCGGAGGCAAAGGCGGAGGTGGTGGAAAAAGAGAGAGAGTGTTTTGGCTGTTCTTCCCTAGGAGAGCAGGTAAAGAACGCCTTGGAAATTGAAAAGAGGAGAGAGAGAGAGAGAGAGAGAGAGGCTGTTTTAGGCGGGATTTTAATTTTCAGCTCTGTCCCACAGAGAGAAAAGAAAGCCTTTTTTTAAATTTTTCAGCAAGTCCAACTCAGACGCCACATGTCTCCCATTGAGTAGAGCCAATTAAGCTCGCGCGCACCACGTAGGCGATGACCTGGTAGTTGCTAACCATTGAATATTTTCTCATGATCAAGAGTCATGATGGACTCGGGCTGGGTCCAGGCAAGTTCTTGTCTTGTAATAAAAACAAACTGCTTTCCTCGTTGACATGCACAGTTTCAAAAAGTTATGTACCAGGATTGTGCAAGAATACTTTTTGTTGTGATTAGATCTATCCACTGCGGTCGAATGAATCTGTACAAATTCTTTTTATTGATTTCTAGTGTGAGACAATTACGCAAGCAATCTGTACAAGTCGTTTGGGGTAGCATTATGCGTTACTAACGTGAGCTATGGAAAAACTTCATCCTTCGCACTTCAGTGTGTTCATGGAAGAGTGCATTACATGTACGCACAATTATGTATCTAACCTACCTATACGTATTCATAGTGTCCGCATACTTATCTAACACTACATGCCGCATTTTTCTATATTTCTAGTCAACACCGTCCTTGATTCTATAGTAATGCAGTTTATCTCTTTACACATACATTTCCATGAAATACACAAGGAAGAACTCCCATCTGATTGGCCCATTCATGCCTTGGCGATATGAGCCGTTAAGATTACTTACAGAAGCTTTGGGCCATGGACGAGAAAACGCAAGTTTTGACCTACAGAAGCTCGTCTCATTTCGTCACTTGTTCGGGACGTCTGCCACTTGATTTTGGGACCCTGTAATGTGTGCTCGTGCACCTCCAAACAGTTTCGCTTGCTCCGTGTTATCCTATGATCCAATCTCAAGTCGATTCCAAATCAAGTTGGGTCTAGTTCCAGTCGTATTCGACACTTCTTTTAATCACCCACATTTGAAATTGTCCTATGTGAAAATTCCCAATAACTCAGATGACGCAAACCCTAGATATTTTTCCTCTCTCTCAACAAGTTGGATATGGCTTGGTCTCCATCGCTGGCACCGGCATCCACAGAGCTATCGGCTCTTGTTTTCTAGTATACTTAAATCATATGTTTGTCCACATTCCTGTTTTTTTTTTTTTTTCGAATGAAAATTTTATTCATTTTTCATAATCAAACATGAGAGGAATATAGAATACTTTTAAACAAAGATAATCTTAAAAGAGCTGCAAAACAAAACAAAATCTAGGGCACACGTCAAGATCTTCCCCTCCAAAAACTGTGGAGTGCAGTGTGCGCCTAGGTTCAGCGTCTTCAACAACATCGCCATACGGAGACATCAACAACAGTATGTTGAATCACCACAGATCGAACACCTAAGAAACTCTCAAATCTAGATTTAGATTGAGAGAGAAAAGCTCCCAGAGTTATATCTATACCTAATAGGAGAGGAAAGCTTTTGTTGAATCTTGGAGAAATCATAAAACCACATTCTGGGCATCTTACTGGTTGGACTGGTGACAAAGTTCTCACAAAATTTTCAACTATAAGCAAATTTATTCACCATGACAAGCTAAGAAAAGCAACGAAAACGAGTGAAAGAAGACACTAAACGAGGCAACAGAAAAGAATACGAAATCAAGGTTTAGAAAAGAAAAGATAGAGCAAAGCAGGCTCTCAGCTTCAGAAATTGAAGTCAAAAGCTTGGAGGTGAAGTTTTTTTTAAGGAGAGATTTTTTGGGAGAGATTAGGGTTTGCTGGCTTATCCATCTTCCCGGAACCAATATATCCCCACATCCCAGTTGTTTGTACCAAAATGAAGATTTGGATTTATTTCACATTGTCACTATTCTCATTTACACATCAGCAAAAACAAAAGGATATATATCATGCCCGTTTGATTTAGACTGGAAGCCACCACCCAAGTCATATTACTCATGGCCAAATTTTCAGGTCACCATCAGAAGGGCAAAAGACAAAGTGAGCCGCCAGAGATCCAATGAGAATCCAACAATTTCGGTGCATTTATACAAATTTTTTTAACTCCATAACTTATCCTCACGACAAGAAGACAATGCTAATGGACACAGCAAATATGTTGAATTATTGACAATTTTTTATGGCTAAAGATTGAATTATTGACAATTGCCACAACGCCGTGCGACGCATGGGACGTACTTGACTATTAGTTTTCTAAATTCTTTAATTAATGTTCAGTTTGTTAGTCCACTTTAAATCCTGGTCATGTCATTATGCAACATTAAAATCATCTCGCAAGATGACTTCCATCAATAATAATCTTGCTCCTGACAAAATCATCAACATTGAAGTTTATGTGTTAGTATTTAGTTGTACTTTGTTTAAATCTTGCGGATGGCCATGGAAGTATTAGTCATAAGATACAGATTTTCTCTTCTTCCTTCTTTGTCCTACATATATTTATATGTCTTGTTTTATTTGCATATAGATTCATATACGTGTTTCCCAGAAGTTGCCACATGCGAATTATCTCACGATGGGTGGAATTATAACAGTGCGTCCAGATGCAAAATATATTCACATGTTAAAGCCCCTTGAAACATAATTGTAGCTTTACCCAAGAACATCCTTATTGTATCCATGTTCTAGTTGTTGATGCTTAAAACTATAGACTCACTTTACCTAAAGAGAACTTGCACTTTAGAAATATTTTCACACTATCGTGAACTTTAGAAACTTTCATATTAGAACCCTAATTTTTTTAATTCAGTTTCATTCCAAAGTAACCGCTCGATTATTAAGTTGTTAATATCTCAAGTGAAGATAGTATGTTCTCATACTAGGTTCCCCGTTTGGATCCCCACAATCTCAACTGCTAACATTTAGTTATAATTTTAAAAATAAATTACATTTATTTGAATCAATGGTTGAAACGAGGAAATAAATGATGTTTTTCCTAATGCGATGGTGGCTAAGGGTCTTTTTCATCTGATAGTTTGTAGCCCAACAATTATAATGTCAAGCCAATCACGACGGCAGCTCACCTATCGACAAGTATGCATCAGCGATGGTTTATGGTAAGATGCCCCTAGAAATTTGTCGCCTGAAGTAAGTTTTCTCGTGCCGGAGACAACAGAGTTTGTAACATGGGGTTTAATTTCTCAACCCTAGCTATCTGGCAAAGGTCCACCCGTCTCCCATTACACAAATTTGGAAGGTAAAGCTTATAAACCCTTCAAATATCATCCGGATACAGAAATCTGAAATTCGAATTATTATACTCTCTGTGGTGACAATTGAAGTCTTTCTATCAAATTTGGATGAAACCGACCATCGTCGTATCGTGCACATCTGTACAAACTCGAATCTATTGAAAATCTTATGGGAAGTAATGAGTGGCATCGATTATTGACGTATGACGTCTACGTTTACAAAATTTTAAAAGGAAATTACACTTTCCGACGTACCTCAGAACTTCTTTACTTTTAGTCTCTGCATTTTTATTTTTCGTGACAAGACTATTCCGGATATTAGTGCTCAGAATAATTTAAGTACTTATATCACATCTCCATCCTATTTCTAAAGGCAAATCCACTCCAATCGCAGAAAATTGAGGTGTCTACTAGTACAAGTTCACGGAATCAAATTTGCAGTCTCTTCAGAATTGTTTTCATTGTACATAGTAATTGAAATAAATAACCCCGGAAGATCTAAATAGACATGAGTCATGGACCGTGATTCTCTCGTACACCTGTACCCTTGCAAGTGGTGCTTGGGGTTATCGGTTGAAGAATGAAGACGCAGAAGGGATGAGATGCAACTGGATCGTAGGAGTGGTGTCAAGTCGGTTGGTACTATGAGTTCTAGGATGGAAGAACTATACCTTAGGAGCTCTAAAGGCAGGGCTAGCCTTCCATGCATAAATTGATCGAGAGCTGATGTTGCTCTCCTGATGAGGCCATGGCAGGCCGAAACCCGTTATCTTACCTAGATAAAATTTGTGTGTCTCGCTCGATGGACTAGAAGCCCGAGCTATACTGGGCGTGGTACGATCCATATGAGAAAGCTATTCGTCATATTCTTTGGAACAACTAATGAACGAGGGCTAGCATGGTGTGAATGACGCATCAGGTGCAGCACGGGCTATTCTGCGGTCAAGGAACTGCCGGCCTGTGACACATGTATATTACCTTTTTCTAGAGATGTCGCAATTACCCTCTTGTGGTGGTTTTGGTAAACGCGAGTTAAAATGTAATTATCGCCTATTGAGCCCATTTTGCAACCTTGACTCAACGTGGAGAGGATAAAGGATTTGCATTTGCACAAGTAATCTGGTGAGATAAGACATTATCACCTAAGACACTCAAAAACATGTGGTTGCACAGGATATTTCTTTCGTCTTCTTGTTTTCTGACATCCCAGCTGCCCATAGCAAGCTGCAACTTGTCCGACATCGTCCTTGTCCTCATGTACGCATCGACGAGAACGAAAGAAAATATCTCCGGATGATATCTAAGGGATGTCAAGCTGCAACTTGACCACTTGATAAAAGTTTTGGTCGCCATCCCAAGGGCGACGGACAAAGTTGGCTGCGAGAACAGTCAAAAGCAACTCTCGAGTCAAGAATTATTGATGAATTTAGTTGAGTTTTGAAGCCCTGTCGTTATCAAATTCCATTTTTTAATTTGTCACTTTAACTCTTAGTGCACTATAATATGTAATCGAATTTCAGTTGATACGTTGAAATTAAATTAGATAATTTTTTATGTGGGATGCCGCATGTGAACGTAATCTGCTGAAATCTTATGATTGGACGTATTAGTTATAGCATATTAATTACAAGAGCAGGATCCCCACATTTTGAACATTCAAATATTCTACTCAGATAAATACTCACCAGATGTCCCTTGATGGACGCAAGTTATAAACCCCAGCTGAAACATAAGAGAGAGCATCAGCTTGTAGCTTTACACCAAAAGCCTCCTTAGTTATGGACGTCTTGGTCCTATTTTTCGGTCTCATTTTTGTATGGGGTTTGTTCGAAGTTCTTTCTTTCGTCAGAAAGAAGAGCAAAACGACTCTTTCAAACCTCCCTCCTGGTCCGCCGCCGCTTCCGGTCGTCGGTAACCTCCTAAGCCTTGGCTCTCAACCTCACAAGTCCCTTGCCGGGCTCTCCCGCACTTATGGCCCCATCATCAAGCTTCAATTTGGTCATGTAACCACAATTGTTGTTTCGTCTCCAGCAATCGCAAGAGAGATCCTCCAAACCCACGACGCGATCTTCTCCAACCGCACAGTCCCCGACTCCGTCACTGCCTTGAGGCAAGACGAGCTCGGCTTGCCTTGGGTCCCCGTCTCACCTCTCTGGAGGAACCTTAGAAAGATATGCAATTTGCACATCTTCTCTCACAAGAAGCTCGAGTCCAATCAACACATCCGCCACGAGAAAGTTCAAGAGCTTGTCGGCTACATCAAGAGAAGCCTTTCTACGGGTGATGCTGTCGATATTGGCGAAGTGGCTTTCAAAACTGTAGTCAATCTATTGTCGAAGACCATGTTGTCCGAGGATTTGGCAGACCCGTCCGGTTCGGCGAGAGACTTCAAGGACCTTGTTTGGTGCATCATGGTCGAGGCCGGAAACCCAAACCTGGCGGATTATTTCCCCGTGCTTAAGAAGATCGACCCACAAGGCTCGAGGCAGCGTATGACGGTCTATTTCACGAAGATTTTCGAGCTCTTCGACAGCTTGATCGAGAAGAGGTTGCGAGAAAGGGCAACGGTTGGTTCTATTAGAAAGAACGATGTGTTAGACACACTGCTTGATGCGAGAGAAGACAAGAGCCAGGACGTGGACATTTTCCTCATCAAGCACTTTCTCTTGGTACTTTTCTAGTAATTTGATCATGCTTTTTTTTTGCCTTAGTTATCATATTCATCAACATAGCAATTAATGGAATTTTAGTACAGGCCTTCACTTTTCTATCTTGGATTGGCATTTCATTAGTTTTTACTTTTTGTTTTTTTTTAAATATTGATCTCGCGAACATTTACTTATTCGATATAAGATGTTCAAAACTTTCAAAATGTGATTAATATCACAACTTGTAGATTTGCATATAAATTTTTAAATCTTTTTGAAAATAGACAATTTTTTGAGTTAGGAACCCGTATTAAGACAAGGCACGGATCGGTCTTTTGTTAATTATCACTTGATACATAAACGAAGGTGAAGGTTGAGTTTTTCTAATAATTCTTTGAATGCTAAAAGTTGTGGAAAAGTGTTAGAAAAGTCCTAGATCCATAAACATTTTAATGGTGACAATTTAGTTCTAAACCTTTTGACTTAAAGCCAATTCAGTCTTTCCAACTAATTTTGGTCGGATATTGCTGATATGGACGCCGGCTGACTTACATGGCACGGTTGGCCGGCGTTCATGTGGAAAACTTTTAATATTTATTTGTTTATTTATTTACTTTTCCTTCTTTTCTTTTCCTTTTCTTTCCTTTTGTTTTCCTCACTTCTTTCTTCCTTTAGCCGATCACCAGACCTCGGCAATCGGCCAGAGGTGAGGGCCGGCGAGGTCGAGGCCAGCCGAGGTCGACCTCGCCGGCCCTCACCTTTGGCAGGTTGCTCAAGCGAGGCCAGCCCTCGCTGGTTACCGGAGGAAAGAGGAGAAAAAAAAGAAAAGAAAATTAAATAAATAATATAAGAAAATAATTAAAATATTATTAAAAATGTCCACGTCAGCGTTGCCAGGTATCCACGTTAGTAATATCCGACCAAAATTAGTCAGAATGATTAAATTGATTTTAGGTCAAAAGGTTTATGATTAAATTGACACCGGTGTGATAAATTTAGCACTGTTTTTGACACTTTTTCCTTAAAAGCTGATTCATCGAACACTCATTTGACTAAAGGTATGTCATAGATATCCTGTTGACTCGCGTGGATCCTATATATGTTGGATTTTGACGTGGACGTGGACGGCGAACCGGACCCAAGCAGTACCTTTCGCATTTGTTTTCTTTCAATAATGCAATAGAGCTGAATAATTTGATTGAAAAAGTTGCTTTACAAGATAATTTTGCAAGTTGTTATTGGTGTTTACAAATGCCCATCTAGTTACAATAGCGATTCGGAGCTTATCTTGTCTCTTTATAAAAGAAATCTGTAAATATCTACAGATATAAATTTTCGTTAAAAGATCAGTGCATAAAAGTTCATGTGTCACAATGACATGCATCGTTTAACATCTCTTGTGGTGGACACTCATAGGACTTATTTGTTGCGGGAACAGACACTACTTCGAGCACAATAGAATGGGCATTGTCCGAGCTACTCCACAATCCCGAGAAGCTCTCTAGAGCGCAAGCCGAGCTCAATCGAGTCATCGGCAAAGGGAAACCCATAGAAGAATCTGAAATCGCTCATATGCCCTACTTACAAGCCATCATAAAAGAGACTCTCCGGATGCACCCCCCAGTTCCTCTCTATCTTCCTCGCAAATCAGGATTGGAAACCGAGATTGGCGGTTTCACCGTCCCAAAAGGTGCACAAGTTCTTGTGAATGTGTGGGCTATAGGAAGAGACCCTAGCATTTGGAAAGACCCGGACGTGTTCATGCCGGAGCGATTTCTAGGGTCCGAAATCGATGTGAAGGGACAAGATTTTGAGCTCGCTCCGTTCGGTGCCGGGAGGCGCATATGTCCCGGCTTGCCGTTGGCCATGAGGATTTTGCATTGGATGCTCGGTTCGCTCATAAACTCATTCAATTGGGAGCTCGAAGGCGGGGTCAAACCCGAGGACATGAGCATGGAAGAGAAGTTTGGGATCACCTTGCAAAGAGCTCAACCTCTCAGAGTTATTCCCAAGCCAATAAAGGGTATGAGCCAGATCAAAGTCAAGTCCTAGTTGTTGATGATAGGAACAACGTATAGACCTACATGCCTAAAATGTTCGTGTACTTTAGAAATATTATCACTCCATTCCGAAGGTCGAAAACTTTCATTATTACTACCCTAAATTTCCAATTCGCTTTCAGTTGGAGGCTTATCACCAGTGAAGATCCTTTATCCTTGTATTGTGTCTCCATTTGCGTCCCAACAATCTCGACCATCAAATTAATGCATTTAGTGACAAGTTTTTATCACATGAATTAATATTTAAGATGGTAGAGACATCGCAAGAATTTACGATAAGGATAAATCCCTTTCCTACTATAACTACTATAATCGTGTACCCTTCAAATAGCATTGTGCCGCATAATGATTTGAACAGTTTATTAGCGAATGGAATACCACATTAACCCCAAAAAAGTTAATAGTGATGAAAATGTCCGAGACATAGTTGAAACCAACAAGATACTTTTATGAAAGTTCATAAGAGAGAACCGGAATAACCTTTATGCTACGTGTTTTCTTTTTATAGTAAAACTACCCATATCAGTGGTGAGATATGCCGAATGTATTAAAAAAAAGGTTATATAACCCGTTTATTTAATGTTTTTTTTTGTAAGGTTTTATTTATTTAATGTTTGTCCACCATGAATCCATTAATTAAGCCAACATCAAATCTGATCCTTGATTAGATAAGAATAGGCCTATTCAGCCGAACATAATCTCGGGTTAGATAATAAAAAATCAAAACCGAATTCAAGAAAATTAATGAAAAGAGGAAAATAAAAAGAGAGGTGTGCTTGTTATTTGCATATCCAGTTTCTAAGATTTAGTTGCTAATTTTTCATTTCGAAACACACTGAGAATCGAAGGAAGATTCAATTATAAGAATATGTCCTGCGATAACAAAGAAGCCTCTTTTGATGAAGATGATTAAGGCTATGTTTGGTCGTCTGGATTTCTAGCCATGATAAGATTGGATAGGATAGGATATAAAATTCAAGATTTTGCTACATCATATCCACTGTTTGGTAAATCGCAGTTATAAAGCCGGATATTTTCATATTTTATCACGTCCATTATTTGTTTTTTTACGACATATCAATATAAATAAATCCGAAAATGCACAAACGAATATTGTAAAAATCTCTTATAATTCACTGCAAAATCTAGTAAAAGAGTAAAAATATGATCATTCACTTTTGTGAGTACGAAAAGTATATTATTTGGACTCCCTCGCTACTTTTGTGAAATTTCAATATGAATCACAAAATTACGGAAGAGTTTTGACTCTCTCGCTGCTTTTATGGACTTTTGACATGAACCGAAGAGCTACGAATGAGAAGAAGCTTAGACTCTCTCGCCATTTTCATGGAGCTTTGACGTGAACTAAAAAACTATGAAAGAGTCATGAAGTTTCAGCGTGAACCAGAGATACATAGGATTAGGAGACGAGAGAGGGTAGGTTTTTTCAGAAATTTCATTGCCCCTCATTTTTCGAGAATTAGAAAGATTATTTTAAAATTTGAATTTTTTTATTAAAATCTGGCTTCTTCTACATCATTTTTATTTACTCAATTTTTTAATTTTTCCATCTCTTTTTTAATTTTTTATACCCTTCCATCAGTCCTTTATAAAAAAATTTATCAACTTATAAACTATACTATTATACCTAAATTGTGTAATAATGTAGATATTAAATATATATTATAGAGTAGAAATAAAATCAATTATATAAATAATATAGGAATATATAAAAACGTTAATTATTTTTTGTATTCTAAATTATCTTTTTAATATTATAACTCAATTACTAATTTATTTTTATTATTTAAAAAGTTTGTTTCGAAAAAATAGCTTTTATATTATCAATGTTAGAAATCATATCCACATTTATCTCACCTCCCTCCTAGGATAATTTTATCCAGGCTATATCCGATTTTATCCTATCTTGAGTAGGAACTAAACACAGGATAGGATAAATGTTATCATATCCTAAATTTTGTCCTAGCTACCAAACGCAACCTAACATTAATGAAAACGAGCCTACGCTTGTAGCGTGTTTCGGGACTACCGTGACAAGAGCCCATATACAAATACATCCACCGTGAAATTTGATTAGAGATTCTTTTCATTGGGAAAACAATGTGTTATCTTTACGATTCTTCTCCACTTCCGATGAGATAATCTAGGGTTTGGTGGAGAACAACATGCACCTACTGCCTCACACGTGTTTTGGGAGCAAATTTCTTATCATTACTATCATATTACCATTACAGCTGTCATCAATAATCTCTACTAATAATTAGTACAGGTGAGTGATTCCCAATCTGATCCGATCCAACCCAAAAATCGGGAACCGGACCGACTAGTCTTGGGATCGTGGACCGGATCGGACCATCGGTCCGGTCCGGTTCCAATGGGACCAATCACTTATTGGTAAAGGCAAGTGGGAATTGGAGAAATTAGATTAGGCTTTCTATTTTTTTCAAAAATTTTAAAAAGTAAATAATATATATATGAAAAAATTAGAAAAATATATATTTAACGGTCTAGTCCGGTCGGTTCGGTTCCCACCCTAGAACTGGGAACCGGACCGATATTCCCGAGAACCGGACCAAATCAATCGGTCTGGTTCGGTCTGGTCCGATCCCGATTTGGGCGATCCATCTTACTCACTCCTAATAATTATGACATGATAACATAATTAAATCGGCCCTAGTTGCTCATCGTGACCTAGTGGAAGAAGGGAGGAGGATCTTGGACGAGGAAAAGTACCCCATCACTAGCTCAAGGAGTCGTATGAGGTGACATCTCACGGATGGTGCGGTGTTAATCGACCATAAGTACGGATGATGGACAATGAATGATTGATGGAAAGCCCCAAGCGGTTGACAAGGGACATATATAACAGTGTTTCGTCAAAAATGGTAATCGACGAAAGATCTTTCTTTGAAGGATTCATAAGGGTTCTGTGGCAATTACGGACATGAGTCTCAATGAAGAAAGGAGGAAAAGTAGCCCATCACTAGCACGAGGAGTCGTATAAGGTGACATCTCATGGATGGTTCGGTGTTAGTTGACCATCAATATAGATGATGGACAATGAATGATTGAAGGAAAGCCCCAAGCGGTTGACAAGGGACATATATAACAGTGTTTCGCTGAAAATGGTGGTCGACGAAAGACCTTTCACTAAAGGATTCATACGGGTTCGTTGGCGATTTCGGACATGGGTCTCAATGAATCACAAGGAACATATATGTTTCATCGGAATTTAATCGACGATGAAGTACAAAATAATTTGCCAAAATTTAATTGACGATAAATTGAGATGATAAAGTAATACAACGCCGGAATTTAATCGACGACGAAGATCTGAAAATTACAACTAAAGCATGGCTATTGTTTATTACAGAATATTAAGTCGGGTAAGGGATATGGGGTGGGTTAGGAATATTATATCAAACTTTTTTAGACAGATTTAAAGAGTTTACTAAAAAAAAATTAATGGGATCCGTCCTAATTTCATTCCTACCCATGCTCAGCTATTCACAAGCCTTTCGAAACTCTATGTATCGATGACTTCTATGGCCTTTGTCTCGTTTCCTTTTCATTTCTTCTTCTTTTCCATTTGAAAAGGATCGCTTGCAATTCAAATCTTTCCCATTTTTCTTTGTGCTTGGGTCTTGACCCATGTGGGGAGTGCCCCTTCAACCTGATAACGTTCCTAGTCAGCAATCTTATCTCTTATATCTAATTTAAGAATATTGCTCCCATAATCTCTACTTACCTTAATCATCCTCAATCATCCCTAATTTAGGGCTCTTGTAATATCTATATATACAATATACTTGTACAATACAAGAGAAGATGAGAAAAACAAAAACAGAAAAACACAATTTCTTCATGGTATCAGAGCTGCATTTGGCATAATCCGCCTTACGATCCTGAAGTTTCTTTCTCATCTCATTCCTCATCGTCTTCCTTCTTCCCAAAGAAAATGTTGACAAGCCCTAATCCATCATCTCAGTCGTCTTCATCTGTCGTATCTCCCTCACTTGTTATCTCAAACATATCCAACTCGATACCCATCAAACTGAACAGCTCGAACTATCTTCTCTGGCGCTCTCTTTTTGAACCAATTCTCAAAGGCCACAACCTCATGTCTTACATTGATGGAACCTCCCAAGCACTTGCTTCAACTGATGAAAATTACACAAGACATCGATCGAAAAAGATCATATGCTACTCTCCTGGATCAACGCTACTCTCTCTGAATCTGCACTTCCATATGTCATTGGCGCTACTTCTGCAAAAGCCGCGTGCGATTTCCTCGCTCGTCACTATGCCTCTCTCACTCCTGCTCATGTAATGTCTCTCAAAAGACAATTACATCACCTCAAGAAGGGCAACCTCACCATGCAAGAATATCTCCAACAATTCAAAACTTTAGCTGATAAACTCGCAATTTGCGAATCCCCAGTAAGTGATGATGATCTCCTAATTTGCATTCTCGATGGATTGCCTGCTGCTTACCGCTCCTTTGCATCCTCTGTTCGTGTTCGTGCTCATCAAACTTCCATCACCATTGAAGATTTACACAATCTCCTACTCTATGAAGAATTGAGCATCACTGATGATTCAATATCCAAAACTACTTCTGCCTTTATTGCAAACCGGCAACCTCGAACTCTCTCTCCTTGGCAACACTCATTCACACCTCGTCCCTATAGGGGTGGCACCGGTTATAGGGGACGCAGCAGGGGTCATTCCAATCAAGCCGGACTTCTCCCTAATCCATCATTTCGACCTCAAGGTCATCAACTGAATACTGGTCGCCTGATCTATCATATCTGCAACAAACACGACCATAGTGCCATTGACTGCTATCATCGCATGAACTATGCATACCACGGTCATAATCCTCCAGAAAAACTTGCTGCCATGGCTATTGCACCACCTACTAACGATGGCACTTGGTATACTGATACTGGGGCTAGCCATCATATTAAAGTTGATCTAGGTAATCTCTCCATCTCCGCTCCCTATAGTGGTTGTAATGAAGTTCAGGTTGGAAATGGCAAAGGTTTGTCTATTACTCATGTTGGTTCCACTTCTCTCTCACATCCCGTTTCTTCCATGCAATTAACTAATATACTTCGTTGTCCTCTAGCATCTACCAATTTAATTTCAGTTAGCCGTTTTGCTAAAGACAACAACTGTTATTTTCTATTTGATGATTCTCAATTTG